GAGAGAGCACTGAGCCACAAACAGCCAGTGTGAATAAAATAAAAAACAAAGAGCATCCTGAGTCGTGTCCTTCAGGGTTACAATGATATAAATAGATTATGCCTCACTTGTATGACAGTGAATAGGTTTCTGGCCTTTAAATCCCCCCCCAAAAAACAAAACACCACAAAAACCTGACCAAGAATTATTATTTTTCCTTTATTCAAAAAAGTCACTTTCAACTGTAGCTCAACATCCATCAACAAGTAATGGTATTTGATAACCCAAAAGGAAAAAGAAAAAAAATTAGCTTTCTTTAAAAATGCATCAGATATACAAAGACTCTACACAGGACACTAGACAAGAGCAATGCAGCATTTCAACAAGTTAAAACCTCATTTGTGAAACAATGATCGACCCCAACTGAGAGACTGAGGGCGGCGCGTTTGTTTATTAAAAATTGTAAAAGAAAAAAAAAAATTGACAATGTTTTTTGAATGCTAGATACTTTGCCAAACCACAGATAAATGTGAGAACTGAATTTAAGGATTTAGCTCAAAACCTGACAGGGAGATGGTGTCATAACAGTCAGACTTTCATTACATCAAAACAGGGCAGATTGATCCATTAGTCTCTTTGGAAGTACAAGATTAAACCACTGGCAGCTCTTGCAAACAACTGGTACATGCCACATTCAGAGTACTTACTGCATCAAGATCATCATGAATAATCGTGACACAGTAAGTATTCAAGTGACTTAAAACGCCTCAGCTCATGATCTGAGGCATAAAGAAAACAGACTTTGGTTTCAGGCATAGCAAAAGAAACATTCTGTTAATTCAAGATTTTGGGAGATGGCTCAAGAGCAAAAGGCTGCGTGTGTCAAGGACAGCGAGTCAGAATAGCCTCGCTCAACCAAGGAAAAGCTGCTGGCTTCAAGTTTGTCCAAAAGTTTATTTTTCAGGGTGGGGAATAAAAAATAAAGTTCAAAGCTGTTCCACTCTCCTACAAGACCGTCTCTATATAACAAAGCTCTGAAAGTCTTCTTTTAAACTAAGGTTTAATCTTTCTTGATCCAAATCATGGCTAGACATCCTGTTGTAGCGCTGCACTTATCCTGGTGCCAACCTTTTCATCTCAATCCTGAGCACATTTCCCAAAAGGATATTATATTCATAAAAAAATAAAAATAAAAATTACGATACCAGTCATTTTCAGCAACTGCCATTTACAGAGGCACAACTGAAAGACTGCTGCCCGATAGCCAACATCAATCTCCACAAAAAGCGTTATGTCATTGTACAAACTGCAGCCACATGAGAGCCTCACGGGTTTCACTGCAGTCGACTTAAGACAAAGCTCTTTAACAAAAATGTTTAAAAATTTAATGCACACATTTAACAGAAAATATACCTGAAACTGGACAGAAGACTCGTCCAGTGCTAAACAATTAAGAGGTGGGACCAAAACAACAAAGGCACAACAGAAAGGCCCTGAGGTACAGCAACTGTGAAACAGTTTGGCAACACCGATAGGCTAGTTTACAACTTAAGCATGAACTGACCCAACTGAGTGGGCAGGAAAGTCCACGTGTGACCTGAAAGGAGGTGAATGTGATAACAGCTGGGCAGGAATCTCAGTACTGGCAGGAATGAAGCGGACCTCCCTTCACTGGAGGGACGAAACATCGAAAAGGCCTTTAGTTCATATCTGCTACCACAATGCTCAGTGCTTCTTCACAGTCACTAAACCTTTAACAGATATGAGTCAATATGGTGATACTGTAATTGGCAAGGTTAAAATAATCAACCCTGTGAGAGCCATGAAGGAACAGTCCTTATATTTAGTCTTTTTCCTATAAAAGTTTAAAGTATCACATAAATCTAAGGTCAGTTTTTTTGTGCAACTCAACCCAAAAAAAAAAAAAAAAAAAAAGGTTAATGTAAATCTTAGCTCCTGAAATTTAAGCGTTTCCTACAAAAATTACAAAGCAAATAATTTGATCTGTCAGTCACAGACTAATTTTATCTGCATGTAGTATGATATTGAGCTTCCCTGGACAAGTTTAAAAGCAATGCATCCATATACAACTTTTAGCATTTTGACTTAAGTGATAACCTCTGCAGTGTCTAGACTGTTGCTGATAACTGGTCTTAACCAGCCTTTTGGCCACAGGCACAGTCCTGTTTCCACCAGTCAAAGCAGAGGTTCAAACAGAGTAATAACCAAATAGGCAACATTTGGCTTGTTCAGTTAATGGTGCCAACTAAAGCCAAACTGCATTGTTGGAGAAAAATTTCAGTTTTTACTAAATTTTTTATTGTCCAATATTATTTTGTTCCACTTCAAGGCACCAAATATCTGGCATTGAGTAGTTTGTAAAATAAGAAAGCAGCATGATTCAGTTTTCTTTAAACCAAGTTGACAATGGTCAGACTAGACGAGGTCTTTCAGCTAAAGCGTTCATGGGTCATCAGGGGAACAAAAACTGTTCTAAACGTTTCCTGTATGGGAACATCAACACCAAAAGCCCTTTAACTTTAGACCCCCACAAATATGAAGCTCTATGCAGTAAAACAGATCGGATAAAGTACTGTGCCAAATTCAAAATCAGAACTGCATAAAATCTTTTCTGCTTTTAGAAGATTTGAGGGGAAAAAAACCAAAAACATAAAGTTCTTCGTCTCGTTTTCACTGCCCAGCAGAACCACAGAACTGTTTGGATCAGTGAAGAATAGCAGCATAAGCAAAAGAAATCCAGTGATATTGTTTACTGGACATTGAGTTACAAATCTATGAACAGGCCAAGGCAGACTTCTTTACACTGTAATAACATGAGACCTCCAAGCCATTTAAATTGATCACCATCCCTTTTTGAAACCATTTCCCTTCCTGAATGTGACAAAAACCTCAGACATTTAAAGTCCACAGGGGAAAATTAAAATAAAATGGAGGGCATGTTAAAAAATAAAAAAAAAAAAAGATTAAAATATTAAAAAAAATAATAATGCTTCACCCCTAAAATTGAAGAGGGGATTGTTTGGCACAGACATGCTGAATCAACTGATGTAAGCAGGAGGATCCAAGGTCCCATCACGAGGCTCAGACGATGGCGTTACTGCCGCGGAGGCCGACCCCACGGGCAAACTGCTCCAGCAGGCCGGAGATGGCACCAGAGGGGCTGGGAGCTGAGGATTTGAGGCCGACAGTGGAGCTGTAGGCTGCCAAGAAGGCTTCACGTACTGCCTCCAGACGGGCCTGACGCTCAGAGGGGAAGGAACACCTGGAGAGGACAGGAAAGAAGCAGGGGGGATAAGATGGGAGGGAAAGGTCTGAGAAAAAGCATCTCCTGCCAAGACCAGAGAGAAGGCAGATGAGTCAAAGGGAGGACCCAGTGGAAATGCATCTCCCCAATTCTCACTGTCTACTGGGCAGTAAGCCATCTCTACTGAACATTTCAGTGCCCTGCTTCCAAAAACTTCTAAAAAACAATTTCCTGACAAATCAAAGCTTGTTTGAGAAAGAAAAACACAAACTTTATGATACTGCTGTATTAGAAGTAGCACTATTCATGTCAGCACAAATGGCAAGATATTAAATGATCTTCCATGGCAAACACTACCCCACCTTAACTTGATGCACTGGTACAGCTGCCAGCACTAGTCAGTCATTAGGCCCTTTTAAAATTCTGAACCCTGTTATTGGTCAAAAGAGCTGGTCATCCCCAGTAATAGGACCTCTATGAGACGTCCACCCTCCTCATGGTTCTAATTATGATGTCAACTTCATATGGACTGACCTTTATGCATTTCTCTACCGTCACTGATCATGTGATCAAATGTGGTACATTTACTCATATTCATACAATTAACCTAACCGCCGTGAACAAGTCAGAATTGGTGATAAACCGGCATGTCTTTGGACTGTGGTAGGAAGGCCCTGGGAGGACACCCGAAGGCCATAAGAGGCCCCACCCTGGGGTCCAAACCAGGAACTTTGTTAAGTGACAGTGGTTAGCACGGTCACCTCAAAAACACAAGGGCACAACATTTGTGACACAGACAAGTTACCATGCTGGGTAGCACAGGAGTGTGTTAACAGCCAGGAAACACTGTTATAGTCAAGAACAGTAGGGACAGATACATTGAAAAGAAATACAGACTAATGACAAAGATCACTTTGCTGGTTTCAGTTACTTTAGCATTGTATGTAGGTTTGCACAACCAAACTCTTACTACACCCAGTCATACAGCCCAGCACAAACTATGGTTACTGATTTGCTAAAGAGATCCGAAACTGGCACAAAATAAAAATGGCATCACAACTGAAAATTTCACAATAAACTGGACCCTGTAATGGCAAACAGATCAGTGTTGGAATGAAGGAGGAGATACCTGAGCATAAAGCTAGCCGTGGTTTAATTTAAGAAGTCTAAGCTGTTTGTTACAAACTGAGAAAAGGGTGACGGTCTGCTTCTCTGCATCCTCGTCCCACTGGGAAGTGAACCTCTTGTTTAAGACTATGAAACCATGCCATCATCTACAGATCTTTCTACCAGTGGAGAGGTACTTACATTCGTCCACTGGCTTCATCCTGAAAGCTGAATGGCAGGGGGGAGTCGTAGGCAGCGATAGCAGCAGATGAGTTGGAGGATGAGGCCAAAGGTGGAGGGAAATGGGTATGGTCATGGATGCTGCCACAACCGGAAACGATCTGCCAACTACCATAATCTGTAGAGAGGGAGGAACTTGACCGAGCACAGTCCGCTGCTAACCTGAGAGACAGATAAGAGGGACAAAGTAAAAGAAAGCCCCCAGAGCTCATCATCTTGATCAGTAGCATGACTGAAATTTGTGTTGGAGCAATCTCCATTTAGGATACCGACTCAGTTTCAAGTCTGTATCAGCAAACCAGTTGTATCCTGATAACAAGTGCTGTTAAAACAAAACCATTATATTTGTTCCAATAATGCATCTAAGATGTTTTAGGCTTTGGGTCCACAATCAGCTTGATTTTTGGCGCTCCAGAGGTGCCCATGACCTCCACAACCACTGTTCACACCACGCTTCTTAATAGCTGCATAGCAAATGGATTGAAATACAAAACGTGCTGCTTGTGGACAGACCCTTGTAGGACTTTGAATTCTAAAGCTTGCTAAAGGCTTCCACACAACGTGTTAATAGACCTCTGCATTGAATCAAACTTGTTATTAATCTCTGGCTCTCTTCCAAAGCACGTCTTTGTCTCGTCTTCCTTCCCTCATCCCAACCGGTTGTGGCAGATGGCCACCTCTCCCTAAACCTGGCTGCGCTGGTTTCTTCCTGTTAAAAAGGAGTTTTTCCCCCATCCCTCTGTTGCCAAAGTGCTGCTCATAGGGAGTCATGATTGTTGGGTTTCTTTCTGCATGCATCATTGTATGTCTACCTTACATTGGACCTTTTCCAATAGCACCTTTTTCTCAAAACCATAGTGTTGTGCCAGATGTATGACATCAGAATATTGTGTTGTAACTGCTGAATGATGGAATCTTAAAGCCTTCAAATGGGACTACACTGATGATGACTGACACCACTCCATGCTTCACTTTGTCCCGTTTCTTTGCACAGTTGCAGCCGTTTTTGGAGAAGCCAAATACTGCCCAAGTCTCAACACTGGTACCAATGTCTGTATTTCTTACCATATACTTTAAATCTTTTTGTTAAGGACAATCCATGAACACAGTCTCATAAATAAAATATACCAGATTCATACATGTATCTATTTTATTCAAGTATTCTTGCTAGATAAAAGTGATACAAATTAATAAGATGCTGCAAATTTGAATAAGCTGAAACTGTTTAGCATACAGCATTTTTGTTGCTTTTGGATGCAGCTGCACACTATCGGAGCTTTGCATGGATTTTGCAAAAATCAGTTAAACAATACAATCACTTAAAGCTTAAAAAGTTGTGCTGTGTTGATGACAGTGGAATCCAATTTGTCAAAATCCACACAAAGCAGGTCTGTTATGCACTAAACTTTTTTTGGCCTACAACTGCAAAGAGCATGTTATGTAGACCATCTTGTCTTCCTTAGGATGGGAAGTGTTCAGAGGGTTTGTGCTTTTTCCTGTACCTGTCACAGGGTTTCTAAGACTGTTTAAAAAGCAGCAAGTTTAGACTTCTCTTTTACTGGAAAAAAAGTTTCTCTGCAGTTGCAGTTTTGTAATAAAGGAAATGAGCAGGTACCATGCAACAAAATCCTCCATGTACACTTGCCTAATAGTAGCATTTAAGTGACTGAGAACTTCAAGCTTTCTGATTTGGAAAATTTCCGAATACGTCAAACGCTGCAGTTAAACCCAAAATACGGGAAATGATAGAAACAGAAATGAAAGAATTCAAAGCTGACGAGACCCTGAACATTTTAACAGGTTCAGATGACAACAGTATAAGAGTGGTTGCACTGTCGTAGCAACTGTATTTCACTGCTTGTAAGTAAAAGCAACAGAGCTGAGAAGCTGCATCTGGTGATTGTCCAAAATGTTAAGTGTGTAAAAGTACGCAGTCAAGCAAACTTGAACTGGTGGCTTAAGCTACATGGACTCCCTCACCTTCTCCCTGGAACAGCCAATGGGCTGCTGCCAGTACGAGTGTCGCCATGCTCCGAATGATTGGATGAGGAGCTAGAAGACCTGGCGTCATTTGCTGTGTGGGAGAGGCGGTCGTCCAAAGGGTTCTGTTTATTCCAAACCACCATTGGAGAAGAGGAAGCGGTGCCTTTTCTCCTGAGGGCAGAGAGAAAAATCACCATTAGCAACAGCTTGTTATGAGGCCAACGACACCACTGCATAAGTTAGATGTTGTATTTGGTATTCCTTAGACAGGAACGTGTGTGTTAGTTCTAAACTAGCAAAGTGTTGGAGCTGTGAGCATTTCCTTAAAATGCAAAGAACTTGTTTGAGATGACACATCAACTTCAGACACTTTGAGGCCTTGGTTGAAAAAAAAGAAAGTCTAGTCCAGCATAGGGTTACAACAACCATCCAAATCACTCCAACTAGCTTGCATACGATGACTGCAAAATGTTTAATAATAAAGTACCTGGAGACTAATGCAAAACACCCTATGAAACAATGCAATGACTTGGAGGTGAGCATTTACATAATACTCATGCACCTCTACATAACCAGTCAGATTCCTGAGTGAGCTGAGGAGGGTCTCAAGCAGACAGAATCACAAAAAATGTAATTGTGTGGATTGAAAAGCTTTTACATGCGTTTTGCAGACCTTTTGTTATCCGCTGAAGGAGAGCAGATTTGCATTTTCTACAATTGTTTTTTACTGGACCGTATGCATTATACAGCAGTATAAATATTCTAAGAAGCTTGCAATAACTGGAAGAAAAGAACCTAAAGACACTTTGAGAAATTAATCCTTGAATTTTGTGAGCATGTGTGGTGCTGACCAGTTGGAGGCTTGGGGCTGACTGGAGGACAGGTCCACAGTGTCATTGGTCAAGCTTGATCCACTAGCAATCTCTTCAGTGATGAGGGAAAAGTCACTGTTCAAACTAGTCACACTGCCACGGTCCCTGGACTCTGAAAGCAAACAGCATTTCACATGTCACACAGGAGAGCCTGAGCAGCACCAACCAATAAAGGTTTACCCCCTCCTTCAATTTCCCCAAAGCTCCTGTATTGCCCGCCCCACCCCAGCTAAATCTATTATTTAGATGTTTAAAACAAAGACATTTACAGGGGAAGGCTGGAGCAATACACCGGGGATTCTGCAGTCACACGCCTGCTGCTCAGTGTCGTCCTCAAACACTGCAGCAAAGGCCTGAACAAACCATTTGCACCTATGAAACTGATCGAGTCTGATGTGACTACCACATTAAAAGGTTAAGAGTTCGTTCAAGCACGTTTTGGGTTTTAGGCTTGCACTTTTATAAAAGATTAAAGTACCATTTTAAAATCACGTCTCATTGTTTTGCTTTAGGCACTTAAAGTCTCCTTGCATCAGACCAGAGGCAAGTAGGATGAGCTCCCACTGCAGTCTGTAGCATAGCACCAGAGACTGCTTAATGCTCAATACCTTTTAGGTGTTTAGTGCCAAATGATGGTCATTTGATGCCACATTTAGGATGTCTATATAGATATACAAGCTAAAGCCTGCCTATATAGTTGCTGAACAGAGCACCCAACTTCTGATGGTTGTTTTCAGCAGCCATGTCACAAAGCCCAAAGCCATTTAAAGACCATAGTGAGACGTGCTGTAACGTATAGATCAGGGGTCCCCAACATCTGGACTCCAGCCTAAATCTGAACCCTAAGAGGGTTTTTTTTTTCCCCCAGACTGCAAAGCATTTTCTCATTTGCCATAGGTAAATGTTTTATTCCTGCCGGCTACCGTGGCTGACTTTTGAACAGGCGCGTCGGGCAACTATGTGGGGCAGCGACATTCAGGTCCACACTCCAAGTAGCTGGTGGCGATAGTGCAACACAAACACAAAGTAAACCCATGCAGGCCCTTCAGCGCGGGTTGCTAAATTGCTAGCTCAGGCTTGTTGACAGTATAATTATGACTTGGTGCTGCACAGATGAGTAAAAGAAGATGGCTTTGTCATAAATACGTAAAGTGGATGATGAAAATTGGGCATTTAAAGATGGACAAAATTCGCTCACAACTGACTAATGAACATTTGCATCCATGCTTAATTGCATTGACCCCATTTCACCAAAAATTTAAAATGCTAGCTGCAAATTTCTCCTACTAAAGTGAGAGCCAGCACAGTTTCAGGATGTTTTAAGTTACATTGTGTTGAGTTTGTCAAACACATTCTGCAGTTTAAAGCACTTCCTAATTTTCCTGAATATTGAAGGGTTTTAATGTTTTTTATTATTGCATAATTTATTTAATATTGGTACTTGAACTGGATTGCACTCGTCTGTCCAGGAGATGATTTAATGGGCATAAAGTTAAATGATTAAAACTAATTTCTCAGTACTAAGTTTTAAAGAGACTTTCCATTTGATTCAATTTTATATGATGGATTACGCAGAAGAAAGATAGAATTGGGCTGAAAGGCCTGTTGCTTTACCAGTCACACCATATGATTAAAATGTCCTCTTTGCCCAATTCATTTCTGCTTAAAGCGATCTCATCTCCACAATCACTCACCTTACTATTCCAGCACAAAGCTGAACACTTTACATTTCACTAGATTAAATAACAGATTAGGCATGTCTGAACTTCTGATACTACATATCATCGGAATACCTTAATAATCCCTGAGGAAATTATGTGGTTACAGTTGCTCCAAGACAAAAGTAACAGACTGAACTAATTAAATATATTACAAAACATAAGAAATGGCTCTAATATATACATGATTGACATTTTACTCTAAACTGTAAAACTTTGTTATTTACATACATATATACAGTTTGTACTGTGCATTAGATGGAGTTGTACAGGCAGGAATGATTTCTGTGTCATTTAGTGGTGCATTTGGGTATTATATTATTATAATATAGGCTCCCAACATATCTGTAATTAATTAGATCCATGAAATATCAGTCAAAGCTTCTACAGATGAAAGCGTGCAAGAGTGACTCACTCAGCTGGCAGAGCTCGTCCACAGTGAAATCGCCGTCTTTGAAGTGAGAGTTCTTCCTTCTAAAACTTAAAGAGGTCAGACATTAAAAGACGAGTGAACAACTGATGGTGAATCCACACAGCTGGAATTTGACTGGGTAATGTGGTAAACACACCTCTGCTTTTTAACAGTAGAGAACTTCTCTGAAACAATGTGCTTCAAAAAATTGAAGCAAAAAAAGAAAATCTGAGGAGGAAAGAAGAATGTGATGAAACAAACAAACCATTAAGACAAAAATAGAAACTGGTAATAGCAAGGGGTACACAGAGTGCATGTAGCCTTTCACAAACCAAAATTGAGTTGTTATTCCACATTAAGCTAAATGATTAAGTGTCATTTTTACTGGCTTTAGAAAGAGCTACAACTTCATTTTAAATACCTCTTCCCCTTTGGAGAGTCGATCTGGCAGCATGTGACTAGAAGGGAAAAAAGGAATGACTGAAAAGCTTCCCCATTGCCAAACCTCAGCATAATATAATATAGCATAATAACACTATAATATAAAGTTATATAGTAGTTCTAAACTGACCAGTTCTTTGTCATAGTTAAAAAGGATAAATACAGAATACCAGCAGAGCTGAAATGGATCTGAGATGTTGATGAAGCACATCAACATCTGCACCTGAGGGTAGCTTTAAAGGACTTTGATACTTAAACGACAATGCACCATATATTCAACTGATCCAAGTGTGTTTGGGATAAACTCATAGCACCAGATTTAGTTGAATACTTTTAAACAAACTGAACCTGAAAGCTAAACATTTTAGCTTAAAGATCTGAAAATGAGTGACTGAGTTTAAGCTGTTCGGTGATGGGATCAAAAAAGGCTTAATTATCTTAAATGCTGCACGTCGCAAGTTTACTTCCCATTCTTCCATTAATCAGTCACAACTCAAATATGTACTGTAGACAACCAAGCGTCTCTCAAGTCAGGCGGCACTACGAAGTGTCCAAATCACCGCTGACATATTTCTGCTGGCCAAATCAACATCTTCACAGCAACTTGTTAAGTCCTGAAATGACAGATGTAACATTCTTACCCAAAGAGGAACCAGTCGTAAGCGATAGTCAGATACAGAATCTCTGTGGGCTCCAGGCTGGCATGCACTGCACCATCCTGTGAAAGATGGGAATACCTGAGTCAAACAGCTCGCACTGCGGGTGGCATTCGAGTAGGTTTAGGCTTCAGCAGGTACTGTGTACAAGTGCTCGCTTTACTTCTGAATAGACCTCTCAGGAAAAGCCCATGGGAGCATGACAGCAGTCTGGTTTAAATGAATGCACTTAAGTGAAACTATCCACGGTTTAAGACAATTATATTGACCATTGGTAACTATATAAAAAGGTAATAATCTGCTGCTTTTCCACAATGTTCCTCAGGCCATGGATTCACTTCAACTACAGTCTTGTGGACCACCAACTGTAGCTTTGGTGAGCTTAGCCTAAAAGTGCTTGAATCAACTTCCCAGTTCCTG